ATTTTGTGATTGGCAAACTGATAATCTTTTTTAGTCCATATATATATAGTTTTTTTTTAATTTTTCTTTTTTTTACAGCAAATTTCAAAATATACGGGACACTTGAGAAATTTGATTGTCGGGTTGTCGGGTAGCCGGGTTACTCGGCAGTAGGTTGTTTATTAGAAAAGTATAAATAACACGTGACGAGTATAATGAATAGTAGTATATCAGANGATCTGACTTTTTATTTTGTGATTGGCAAACTGATAATCTTTTTTAGTCCATATATATATAGTTTTTTTTAATTTTTTTTTTTTTTAAATAGTAACGCGTTTATTATTAATTGATAACAATCATATAATAGATTATAATTTTATATAAACACCTAGCGTATATTAAATCCAAAGATCTCAATCTTATATTTGTTTATTTGCTAGTTATTTTTTATATAGGTTTTGTAATAAATACATCGAGGAGTAGTAAATTCGGTAAATCGGTATCGGTAATCGGTAATTACCGGCCGGTTTCGGTTATACAGTTTACCGATATCGAAACTTCGGTAAATTACCGATTACCGATACCGAAATTCGGTTTCGGTTTCGGTATGACTCAAACCGAAACCGAACCGTACCGATCGGAACCCTACTAATAATTTATTACCGATTTTTGTACATTTAACTGATTACTGATTTTAATTTTATAATAATTTATTAATTAAATTTAAATTACATATTAAATTAATATATAGCTATCTATCACCATCCACCATCCATCATCCACCCATCATCTTCACCTAACCTGATAAAAATCCATAGAAAACCTACAAAAAAAAAGGAGGAAATGGTTAGTAACCTATTTTTTAAATAAAAAAAGTTAAAGTTTTAAAAGAAACTTACCCGATCTAATAAAATCCAAAGGGGAAACCTACAAAAAAAAAGTAAAGAAATGGTTAGTTCGTTTCTTTAATAATAATTAAAAATAAAGTTTCGAAAAATTTGAAACTTATCAGCCCATCCAATAAAGTCCGAAGAAGAAAATCTACAAAAAAAAAGAAGAAACAATTAGTTTACGTTTCTTCAATAAAAAAAATAAAGTTTTGAAAAAATTTGAAACTTATCCGCCCATTCAATAAAGTCTGAAGGGTGGGAAACCTACAAAAAAAAAAGAAGAAACAATTAGTTTAATGTTTCTTCGATAAAAAAGGTTAAAATTTCGATACTCGAAACTTACTCCCAATTCGTTAATGGAAACCTACAAAAAAAAGAAACAGTTAATTTGTTTCTTTAATAATAATAAAAAATGAAGTTTCGAAAAACTTACCCATTCAATAAAAAGTCGAAGGGGAAAATTTACAAAAAAAAAAAAGAAACAGTTAGCAAACTAATTCTTTTATAAAAAAAAAAATTTCGAAAAGTTTTGAAATAGTTCAAAACTTACCTGATCTATCAGCCCGAAATGAAAGCCTACAAAAAAAAGAAAGAAAAGATTAATAAATCATTTCTTTTAAAGTTTCGAAATTAAACTAACTTTGAAACTTACCATCAACCATTCCATACCCTAAACCCCTATTATACTTTGAGGGCGTCTTGAATCTACAAAAAAAAGAACGAAAACGTTAGCAAACGTTTCGTTCAAATAAAAAAAGAAAAAAAAAATTTTTAAATACGAACAAATGTTAGTAACGTTCGTTAGATAAATTAATGAAATATTTTGAAGTTCTACCTTCGAAATGCCATGTTGAACTCATCCCGAAACCTGACCGAAAAGATTTTGGCGTCCATATTAGAGCTGATTTCCTACAAAAAAAATAAAAAAAACGTTTAAAATAAACGTTTTTTATTAAGTTTCGAAAAAAAAACTTCGAAATTTTACTTGTAGGATTGGTATCCAAATCAGAGCCAATTCCCTACAAAAAAAAATATAAAAAAATAATAAAAAAATGTTAAAATTAAACGTTTTTTTATTAAGTTTCATAAAGTTTCAAAAATTTTCGAAAATTCAAAACTTTACCTGCGGGATTCTGGTATCCAATTTGGAGCCGATTTTCCTGCAAAAAAAATAATAAAAAATAATAAAAAAAATGTTACTTTAACGTTTTTTTTATTAAGTTTCGTAAAGTTTCAAAAATTTGAAACTTTACCTGCAGGATTCCGGTATCCGAATTGGAGCCGATTTTCCTGCAAAAAAATTAATAAAAATAATAAAAAAATGTTAAATTAAACGTTTTTTATTAATTTTTGTCAAAAAGTTTTGAAAATTCGAAACTTTACGGTATCCCTACAATAATATTTAAAAAAACGTTAAAAACGTTTTTTTCAAAAAAGTTTTGAAAATAAAACTTAACTGGAATATCGACGTTCACACTGGAGCCGAATTCCTATACAAGAGTAAAAAAAAAAACATTTTTAATATTAAAAAATGTTTTAAAGTTTCAAAACTTTATTTCGAAACTTACCTTTGTAATTCAGTATCCAAGTAGGAGCCGATTTCCTATACAAACATAAAAAAATGTTTTATTAAAAACGTTTTATTAAAAAAAGTTTTGAAATTTTTTTTCAAAACTTACCTTTAGGATTTTGGTATTCACGTCAGAACTGATATCCCTACAAAAAAATAAAAAAAAATGTTAATTTTTAACATTTTTTATTATAGTTTTGAAATTTTTCGAAACTTATCTTTGGGATTTAGTATTCACACTGGAACTGATAGCTCTACAATTAAGTATAAAAAAAACATTAAAAACGTTTTTTTTTTAAAGAAGTTTCGAAAATGGTTCAAAACTTATCTGGAATATTAGCGTCCACGCTGAAGCCAAATTCCTATACAATAAAATAAAAAATAACATTTTTTAATATAAAAAAACGTTTTTAAAGAAGTTTCAAAACATTTGTTTTGAAACTTACCTAAAATATTAGTATCTACGCCGGAACTGATTTCCTACAAAAATTAATAAAAAAAAACATTTTTTATTAAAAAACGTTTTATTAAAGTTTCGAAACTTTAGTTTCAAAACTTAACTGGAATATCAGTGTCCACGTTGGAGCCGAATTCCTATATAAAAAAAATAAAAAAATGTTTTTTTTATTAAAAAATGTTTTATTAAAGTTTCGAAACTTTAGTTTCAAAACCTAACTGAAATATCGGCGTTTATGCTGGAGCTGAATTCCTATATAAAAAAAATAAAAAAAAAACATTTTTTTTTATTAAAGAAGTTTCGAAACATTTAGTTTTGAAACTTAACTGGAATATCGGCGTCCACGTTGAAGCCGATTTCCTATACAAAAATAAAAAAAAATGGTTTATTAAAATGTTTTATTAAAGAAAGTTTTGAAAATTTTTTTTGAAACTTTACCTAGGGAAACGGTATCCACACCAGAACCGATTTCCTGCAAAAAATATAAAAAAGAAACGTTTTTAGCTAAAAACGTTTTTTTTTAAAAGAAAGTTTTGAAATTTTTCAAAACTTTACCTGTAATATCGGTATCCACGCTGGAACCGATTTTCTTCACTAAAAGTATAAAAAAGAAATGTTTTTTAATGTAAAAAATGTTTTTTTAAAGAAAGTTTCAAAACTTTTTTGATTTAATAAAAAGTTACTGAATTCAATGTGTACATTTACGGATGAAAAAGAAAGGCGAAAAGTTTAAAAAGTTTAAAAAGTTTAAAAAAGTTTATTTTAAAAAGACCTGTAAAATGTCGATCTGGATCATCTGATTTTTTCAGTTATTTACTAACTGATTTGCCGAATTATTGCCAATTAGTTATTGATTTTTACCGTTTGGCAAATTTGGCAAAATTGTGTTGATTTATATGACCAATCAGTATAATTTTACTGAATGATCTTAAAAGAGCAATTTTTCATATAACAATCGGTATAAGTTGATTTTTCACCAAAAGACTGAATGAGTTTTTGTTTAACAATCAGTATTAGTTGATTTGTGATTGATTTTACCGATTTTTGCTATTGGTCAAAAAATGTGATGAATCACATGACCAATCAGCAAAAATTATGCCGAAAGCTCTTAACGGTCGAAAGTTTTGATTTCGACCAGTGTACACTATAATCTGAATACCATAATATACAGTCAGATCTTGATGTACCAATATTCTATGTACCGATAATGCCTGTACCAATAAATTTTTGTTGTCCTATTTAAGGTTGCTTGCCGAAACCTAGGGGTTTAGGCAAAATGGTGTTTCACCGAAAAGTGAAATTCTGCCAAAACTATATTAAAGTTATATTAAAAAACTGGCGAAACTTTAGAGAAAGGTGAAACTGCTGAAACTTATTATAAATGCTGAAACTGTCGAAACTCTGCCGAAACTATAATAAATCTATAGTAAAATTTTGACGAAACTAATCGTAGGATTTTGAAGAGGTTTAGATAAGCAACCTTAGTCCCATTTCACAATTAATAAAAAAATCTCATTGTACCAATATCATATATAATTTTACGATGTAACAATTGTACAGTACAATGATCATTAATGAGAACTATCTACAGTCAGAATTCGATATAACAAACCCTCCAGTTTGAATAGTTTTGGTTTAATTTGAAAAAATGAGTTTTTCTTAATATACTGATTTAAATATTAGTAAATAATGTAAAAATTCACTATACAGAAAAATTATTAAAAAAAATTTCATAATGTGATAGTTCAAGTATAATAGTGAGTATGATGAATTTTTATGTTATATAAAGATAATCATTTTCCAAAGCAATATAAAAAGCTCAATAATATAATAAAAGACCATTATTCAAATCTTGTAATTGCAAAGAATCTAATAGTTGTAATTTTATTTCAATACAAGCTTTGGTTGATGAGAAAATAAAGGTTAAACTTTTTATTTCAAACTTTCATACCAAATTCAATTTTAATGTAAAAATTATCAGTAATATTTCTCTGTGATAATGTAATATAACAAAATGCAATTATAATATTTGGCAGTTAAAAGTAAGTAGTTTTTATTTAAAAAAAATTGGAATTTATTATTATGTATGATTTTGAGCATTTTAAAAAAATTCATAGCAAATTATTATTTTCCGATTTCTATTAAATTTATAATTTCTTAATTTTTTAGAAGGTAAAATTGGTGTAAAACTATTACATTTTATGATTTAAAATGAAAGTTACATATACATTGTAGCTTGCAATAATAAAAATTTATTTATTCTTCATCTAGTGCGATAATGCGGTATAGTCCTATACATTCAGATGGTTAAAGTTGTAAAAGTTTTTTTAGTCTCCTTTCTTCCTTGCCCAATTTTGGTGATTCATTATCTACGATCACACTTAGACCAAAATCAATAAAAAAATAATTGCGACTTTTTGGTTCATATAGTATATTTCTTGTAGCAATATCATTGTGCAAGACGCCAAATTTATGTATTTCCCTGAGTTGATTGACTATGAAACTTTTTTCTTCTTTTGTGAGTCTTGTAGGATCAATATGACGGGAGTCCTCAATTAATTGCATCGCTAATGCAAAAAGATATCCGTCATAGATGTAACCTTTGTAGAACAAACATGGAACAACACGACCTAATATCAATATTGCGATAGATGAGTTAATAATGTTTAAAAATATTATGAATGAAAAAAATTGTACCTTGACATTCTTTCAAAATAGAATATATTTGAGCTTCATGTATTAGCGTTTTCATCTCCTCTTTCTGCTTACATGCGTCACATGTCTTCCATGCCACAGCTTGATTATCATAATATCCAGAAAAAATTTTTCCGAAAGACCCGCCACCTATATATTCGTCTACAGTAGCAATTACCTTGGATGAACTGGCAATTGTTTTTCTACTTTTTTTACTACTAGTCTTTGCTGATGGAATCTGTTTTCTCTTCCTCTTCCCCGAAGAAGAATCATTGTCATCATAATCAGGGTCATTAGGATCATCAGCGTCATCATCATCATCATCAGAGTCGTCCTCATCATCATCATTATCAGATGAAAAATTGTCAAGCACTACACGTCCCAATCTATTGCCAACATTATCATTATTGACAAGTTGGCTGATATAGTAAAAGCATTGGCGTAAAGTTGGATTAACATCAGCGGGTTGAACAACACGAGAAACATACAGGGTGTTTGGATCTGTTTCTTCCCGTTTAAGAAAGTACGTATCGCTATAATTTGATAAAATGCCATAATGGATGCCATTACAGGCCATTTGACCAAATATCTGCGATAGGATACGTTTCTTGAATTTAAAATTTGGATTGTATCTTTGATTCTGGTTACTAAAATCTGGATTTATTATACCACGCCGGTCTTTATATCGATAAATTTGCCAGAGATGATAATCGCACAAATTAAGATTGTGACGCGTTTTCAATTCCACCGGCATCTTGGCCACTGAGAAATTATTAGTGCATAAAACATAGTCAGAAGCACCTAAAAATCCGACAGGTGTTGCAAGAAATGCTGCTCCTTGTGGTATTAATAACGCTTCGAGAGGTACTATAACATTAGAATATAAACGAGCTTTTGCCTCTTCTTTGACTCTGATAAGCACTCCACTTGTGAATCCAACCTGGTATTGTCCTGCTGGAAGGGGATTTTGCATTCTGACATTTTGCGCGAAACCGATCCATTCCCTCACGTTGACTGGAAACCGTGGATAAGCAGCTGTTGTTGTTTGATTAGCGCTATTTTGCAGGTTCCATTGGCAAACTGGAACGGCGTGACCTAGTAATTGAGCTGCTGTTTCAGTCATAATAGAAGACTAATAGAGGAGCAAGAAGAAAACTATGGTTCTTTTATGAAAAATAATCATTACATATATAAATCTAACTTTTTGATTCAAATTCTGAATCAGTGATTTTGAATAAATCATAAAATCACATCAGTTGGCGTCATACAATAGACCCTGTGCGACAGAAAAGTTTCACAACTAAGCCATCTTAATTTGCAGACGATTATCCATATGGTTGTAGACTTCGCTCATAATAATTTGTTATGCGTGATGGTAAAGAATTTTCGTGTAATTCCATATGAATAAAATTATATTCGAAAAAAATAATAACGAATTGCAAAGTATTTAAAGTTTTGAGTTTACTCAATAAGACCCAATTCTCGAAAATGCTCAGGAATAACTACATATGAGTCTTCGTAATACAATATTCAGATAGTAAAGATGAATACAAATATGAATCTACCGATAATGACTATTCGATGCAAAGTGCGATGTATGAGGACAAGAGATTTTATTTGCGAAAAAATACTGATTAGGAATAATTAAGTTCCGGATAGGGTGTCCAGGATGGGTTGTCGTGATGGTCTAAAAATCGCGTGTGATTTTCACGATTTTATCGCGAAAATCGCGATTATAATTTTGGCCGAAATTAACATAATTTCGACCAGAATTAACATTAAAAAACTTACAATTTTTATTTTTATTATTTTATTTACAATTTTTCGTCTTTACAAAAATTTCATCTATAAACTATTCCCTAACTAGCAAATTAATATCAATATTACCATTCAGATTAAAATAAAGAAAATTAAGCATTTTAATGCTTTCTTCTTTAAGTGCCACTCTTCTATCCGATAATATACTTTTGTAACTAGAAAAACTACGTTCAATATCTACACCAGATACTGGTAACCATATATATCTCAAAGCTAATGAACTAAGTTCTGGTAATAAATGTGATTTACCTCGCCAATATACATCTAAATTTTCAAATTCTTCAACAGATTCATTTAATCCACAGTAAATACCCCATTCTTGTATTAAAATATCCATAGGAAATTGAAATTCTTCAATAATTCTATAGTCTCCCATATTATGATGTGCCGTATTGGACTGAATAAATCTTGGATCAAAGCATTGTATCGCTCTAAATAATGGTAAAGCTGGATGATTAGATATATGTTTTTCACACTTTTCATAAGCCAACACAAAAGCCTTAGAAAATAATGAGATAAATGGTTCTCTATCATAATTTCTTTCATTAAAAATTTGTTCTATTTCATTTGAAACTGGAGGATTCCTTCTTCCTGATGAAAGAAAAGCTTGAAGGTTTATTATTCGTGAATAAACAAAGGGAGCTATAGCTTTTTTTCGTATTTTAAAGAATTCCAAATCATTAAACAATCTGAATAAAATTCAATAAATGATAAGTATAATAAAATTAATGAAGTTATAGCTAATAATTTATTTTCTTACCTGCCACAATTGTATGTAATAAAAAATATAAAAATTTCAACATATGAAACATGATCATGATGTTCACAAAAAGTCTGAAGATACCGGATAGCTTTTGAATCATGATTGATAGAATATTCTGTATTAATAAATGTAATTACATGAGGATATATAGGTTTGATCCAATATAAAAATGAAAACCAGGAGTTCCACCGCGTTTTCACAGGTAATGGAGCTAAAGTAGGAGATTCAACATTATTTCGCAGTAAATGCTCCTTCCAACGAATTTTTCTTTGTGAATTATAAACAAAAATTGCTTTGAAATTAGAAACCAATCTGTCAACTAATTCAAATTTTTGAAAATCAATCCAAGTTTCACCAATTAGATTAAGGATGTGTGCCAGGCAACAATTGTGTTTCATTTTTGGTAAAAAAGGAGATAAATGGGAATATGCCAATTTCATATATGAAGCATTGTCAGATATAAAAAAAATAACGTTTTGATAGGGAATATTATATAGATGAATTGTATCTATAACAAATTGAGAAATCATTGAGGCATTAACCTGAGGTATAAAATTTGTTCTAGCTAATTTAGTTTGGTTATCAAAACTAAATAAAATATTAACAGCGTGACGACCACAACGGTCAGTAGTCCCATCAATTGTTAAGCAAATACTTTTGTTAACTATAACTGTCTTCAATTTTTGAAATTCTATTTCATACGATAATGGAAGATATTTTTCACGAAGCTGATTTGCTCCAGTAATTAAGCCTCCTATAAAAATAAAAATGCAAATGGAAATAATTATATAAGTAAATTATTGTAATAAAGTAAAGTTAGTTTAATTTAAAATATAAAATTCATACCGTTTTTACAATATTTTAGTAAAAATGGTTTTAATTTTTCAATCTTCTCTAAAGGAATATCTGCAGATGTGAAAGCAGCCACTACATCAGTATTAACTCTTTCTCTTTCACTTATTGTATTTTCAAATGATGGTATAGTTCTTTGAATTGGTGAATTAATATCGGTAGTTTTATTCTTAAGGTGTTTTACTGTACGAAGATGTTTATCTACAGTATCTTTTCTTTTATGTTCAACTCCTGTATTGCAAAATCGACACCACAGCACATTGCCTTGTACAATATAATTCTCTCGATACTCTGCACTTTGTGACAAACGTACATGTGGAGCAACCATTTTTATAGAAAAAAAAAATTAGAACAAAAATGGTTAGGATTAGAAATTTTTTCGGCTAAAAAAAAAGATTTTATTGATCGTCCAATTGAAATCAATAAAGATTATCCAATTAAATTAAAAAGTCGTGAAAATCGCAAATTTTTGTTAAAAATCGTGACCGTGATAAAATCGCAAAAAAATTGCCAAAATCGTGATAAAATCGTGATCAACCCATCCTGAACACCCTAGTTCCGGATCGGGAATATAGTATGCAAACTCAATCTCATCACAACCATACGAAATTAAAACAAATTTATTGCAGCTTAACATGTGTTATCACTTTTTTTTCTTGTTATTGATAAAAAATAAATTGCAAAAGCAGATGCTGATTGTAATACATACTATCCTTTCTTGATATTATAAAATAGCAAATTACTTAACATATTACGGAATTCTAAATACTGTTGTAAAAATCAATTACTATACTATTCAATTTAAGTTTCTCTTCATTAAATAACCTCCAACTTTTCTTAACGTCATAATAAGAACTTGACATCCCAAAGTCAATTAAGTAAACGTCATTATTACGATTATCGAGCAATATATTTTCCCCACGAATGTCATTGTGGAGAATGCCTCTATCGTGAATTGCCTTTAGCACAAGAATACCCTTAACCTTTTGCCATTCTGTAATATGTTTATAATAACTTTAGAGTTGTACCGATAACATAACACATACCATTTTCAAAGTAGCCGTAACACTCTAAATTTGGAAGATCTTGAAGGTCACTAAGAAGTTGATATATCCTAACCTCGTTCTGCATTTCTTTCAAGATATATGATGGGGATTTCCACAGATTGGCATACTTCAAGGCAATTGTATTGTTGCGAAATTCACATAGAAGCGTCTTTCAACTTTGTCCCTGGCTTAACATATCCTTAAATTTGAAGTCTGTAAAGTAAAGATTCTGATTATTTGTGCTTGTTGATGCGTCAGAAGATGAATCAGATGACTCCTTTTTTTGAGCTGATTTCCTTATATTTCTTGTTACGCGTTTACCATTATTTTCATCAGAATTATATTAGTATGGGAAAATGCATAATTCTTTAGTAACATATGCATACACCTTAAGAACAGGTGGCGAATGCGACTGTAACGGAAGAGCTTCTGATATCCAAAGCTTGTCTCTGTTTTCTTTATTATCGCCTGGTCGGTGCAAAAACCAGTGGTTGTCATAAGTTGATAGTATACTGTACTTAACTTGATTCACCACCATATAACTATAAATCTGTCTAATTCCACTTTGTGCCTTTTTATTGTGTTTATGAAATTCTATAAATGATTCCCCAATATATTCTAAAATATGTTTTCTTTTAACCTCAATTGGTATGAGCGGTTGAAACATAGCAAAGTGGTGGCAAATAAAATCTGGATCACACAGGGTTATTGGTCGATTCTTTTGAAAAATCATAATCTTCCAAAAGCTAATACTTCACAAATATTTGTTTCAAAAGCGGTTTGAAAGCTCATTTCATTATGCATCTGTAAATAATTGATAAATATTGGCCTATTATGTTCCGATTTGCCTCTGAATTTAAAATTATCACTTCCTCAAAAAAGCCTTCCCAAGGAAGGAACTCCTCCACTGGTTGATAATCACCTGAATTCGTAGTACTCTTTCCCTTAACAGCATTTGGATGAAATGTAAGAAGTGGCGAAATACACACTAACACCTCTTCCAGATTGAGAACTGGAAATGAAAAAGTATTAATATTACAAGGGAAAATGGCAAAGAATTACAGACTATACCAGACACTTCCGTAGCAATAGATATTTTTTTAGGAGGCGAAGTGGGCCAGTAGTCTTTTATATCATTTATTGCTGACAACTTGTCACTGTCGTTGAGTTTGAGATTCTTCAACTGAACGTCCTAATCGCCATGAATTTTCACTTTCACAGCTTTTGTTTTTCCTCCTTAATAATCTTCTTGAGCTTGCTAACAGATTTATTACTACTTATTGTAACAGAAAATGCTGTATCTCCTTTGACGAGGAAGAATAATATGATAAACATAATGACTTTTATAGTAATTTTTGCAAAATGTTATTGGCTCAAAGTGCAGATAAGAGTAAAAAAAGAGAAAAATACAGCATGATGGAAGTTTGTTTTAATTTATTAACATTTGTGATCAACATTGAAATGTTACACTATGTTGAACCAATAAAAATTACAATTTTTCACGTAACTTTAAATTATTTGAGTACGGCATATATAAGATAACCTTATATTTTATGTCTTCACATAGCAATAGGCCATTTTTTTTATTATTCTTCAGAAATTTTGCAGATCATTTATTATTGTAGATCTTTAAAAATTTAATAATATAACGATAGTTAACCACTGGTTATTATAACCATCTGTCTAATAAAATTTAAATTTTAATTTTCAAAATTAAATTTTATAAATTTTTTAAAATTTACATAATTTGTCATATGATATGATTATATGACATATATTTATACTACTATGGTGGCTGTCATCTATAAACAACAATAGTCCAAAATTTTGAAATTTATTTATTTATATTGTGTAACTTATGTTTTAAAGTACTTTGTCAAAATATTAATTGCCGCGTAAGCGGCAAAATTTTTTTTTTGCCATATTACATGGAATTCTTGTGGATTTCCATGGAATTTTTGTAAAATCCATAAAAATTACATGAAAACTAGTCCGAAATTTTATATTTTTATTATTGCTACTTATTAAAATTATCCAACTTTAACCCATAATATTAATTAAAATTCTTATTAAATTTTATAAAATAATCCAATAGAAATGTTCAGTACATGTTGCTATATCATTTTATTGGTTTACTAGTTTTTTCTTTTTACTATTCAATTTACAATTTATAAAAATATGAAGTCACTTAATATTAGTGTGGTTTATAGGTGACAGCCACCATACTCTTTCTCTTTCATTTACCTCTATTTACCACATTTATTCCATTTACTTGTTTATTTCATTTATTCATTTATTTCATTTGCCCTTATAAAATTTAGAGTTCCGAATGGATCAGGTCAAGTCAGGTTAATTGACCACCTAACTTGAAAAAAAATTTCAGGTCAGGTTATATCAAATTATCTGTTTGACCTGACCTGAACTGAAACCTGAAAATTTTCAGGATTTTTATTAAAATATCAAAAAAAAAAATGGTGCAAAACATTTTTTTTGAAATATTGCGATTCACTTTTTTATATTAAAATCAATATAAAAAAGTGAATTCCGATACCGCAATTCACTTTTTACATATAAAATTGATATAAAAAAGTGAATTCTGATACCGCAATTCACTTTTTACATATAAAATCGATATAAAAAAGTGAATTCTGATACCGCAATCCACTTTTTATATATAGAATTAATATAAAAAAGTGAGTACTGATATCGCAACTCACTTTTATTATATAAAATCAATATAAAAAAATGAATTATAATACCATAACTCACTTATTATATAAAATCATAGTTTCAGGTCAACAGGTCATTCAGGTTATATTGAATTGCAATTGCTAAACCTGACCTGATAAATTCAGATCAACCTGTTCAGAACTCTAATAAAATTGCATGAAAAGAACATATGATACACTTTTTTTCTCTCATTTTATTCATTTTTTTTTAAATATAGCTGAATTTGATCAATAAAATATACATTCATTCTAAAATTAGCTTCTTTTCTTTTTAACAAACAATTCATTAAATAATCTATCAGCCTCTTCTACTCCATAATTTAAGCTATTATCTTCATTAATATTCTCCATTCTTTTTCTTTTTCTTTTTCTTTCTTCATGTAAATCTGATGTAGTTAAAGATATATTTTTGGTGTTTTCAAAAGCTAATTGGAGTTTTGCTTGTTTTGTCTCATTTGTCATATTTGGATAACATTTTAAATCATATTTGTTGAATAATCCTTCAATTTGTTATTGATGTATAACAATATAGTAAATACGAGATTTAATAAATTCATATAATAATGGAAATTCATATATTGGTAAATTAGGTGAATATGCAAAGTTTATAAATTCTTCTTTAAATAATAGATTATTCAATGCCATATGCAAGCCAAAAATTTTTTTTTGAAATTTTATTTTAATTATATATTACTTTATTTAACTTTTTAGAAAAAAAAAATTTTGTTTATAATATATTAATAAAAAAATTTTTTATTTAAGAATTTACAAATTTTGTATTTTTCTATTATTGCATTTAACAAATAACATAGATACTCTAGAAAAAAACTAATGCTTTTAATGAATTCCTTGCAAAATTTTACCCTAGTTTGCAAAAAATTGATTTTAAAAATCTTTAAAAATGATGGAACAAATTATAATTTATTAAAATTAACCAATAATATTAAAGTTCGATTTTTTCAAAATCACGTGATTGTCCGAGCCCCACCTTTTGCTATAAGTCCGCCCATATACAGTACAAGCAATTCTGAATTCCAAGTATATTGGAATTACACTTTATAAATGCATTTATATAACTATTATACAATATCAACCAATCATTGATATTACTGTTGTTTAAAATAAATTCTTATTTCAAATTAAATAAATTTGTATTAGCTATTAATAAGTTTATTGTATTTCATAAAATATATTGATTCTTTTGATTTAAAATGCATTTTAAGTTTAAATAAATAAAAGGAAACTTCGAATTTAAAAATTTTGTTGGATTCTTAATTGTCTATTTTTCTATTGGCTGTTCTTTAAATGCACACCCGGTCCCAAGATGTGTGCACTTAAGGCTGTATAATTTCTAAAAGATTTTAGATTAACAGAGAAATTGAATTACAAACCAATATTAAAATCATTGACGTGTCGTAATAAATGTATTTAACTTAAATTTTTATTTACATTTTATTATATGTTTTTTTACTTTTTACTAAAATAATGTGAATATCAATTCCGATCATTTTAGCAATAATTTTTCATTTATTACAATTTTCAGGAGCTTAATTTCGGGCGATATTTAACCATCTGGTAGCTAGTCTTTCGCAGAATGAAAATTCACCACAAAATAAAAACGTATCATATTATTTATTTTTATAGATATTATAATAGAAATATGATTTTATTTAAAAAAAATATTAATGATTAATAATTAAAAATATAATTGAGTAAGAAATAATTAATTAAAACTAAAAAGAAACCAAGTAAAAAATATGTTAAAATGAATAAAATAAAATATAAACATTGAAATAAAAGTGATATAAACATATGAAAATGGATAAAAAAAAAAAATATGTTAAATGCAACAAAAAATTATTTACAATTCAAATAAAATTCAGAAATTTACAAGAAAAATTGGATACTGCGGAATGCGGATGTACAAAAAAAAAAAATAGCTAGTGTTTATCGATAATAGTAGCACTACCAGCATTCATATTCACAAGACTGAAATCATTTGCTTCTTCAACGATAGGATCCAAAAAAATAGAATTTCTGTTGGACCTAATAGAAGCTTTACTTCCTTTCCTTTTAACAGCACGTTGATTATTATTACTTACAACAGGAACTGAGAAAACCATTTCTCTTTGTTGTTGAACCAAGTTGTTATTGTTGGTTCCACTTCCGTCTAATGTGAAATTGTCATTATCATTATTAAATGAGGAAATTCTTTTTGGTAATAACATCGGACTTTCCATTGGACTTGAATCGGATGAAGAAGGAAGAAATGATGGAGGATAAATCTCAGTGGTGTAAACGTGTCCTGAAGATGGTGGCGATTGTGGAGAAGTCGAAAAAACTTGAGAGGCATGAGGAGGATTATTGAAAAATGCTGCGTTCATTTTGAAATAAAAAAAAAATGACGGTTGAAAAAGGGAAAAAAGGGTCAGGGGAATTTTTTTTTTTTTTTTGCAAGTGATCGTAAAAAAGAGATTTTAAGGTTCTTTTATAAAGATTGATGGTGGCAAGGTAAATGTTTATTATTGAACAAGGATTACAACTTGTATTAGCAGAACGTGGCTATTACACAGCCTTAAATCTCTTTAATAAATCAAAGCGTAAGTTTAGAAAAAAAGAATTTTTTTTTTTTTTTTTTGTGGAAAAAAAGTTCTTTATATAGCAAATTTACAAGTCAAAAAAAACGTGGGATTTTGTAATATAAATAATAATATATAAGCTACTTTATAGAGTGATTAATTAAGGAGCGGATTTTTTTTTAACAAACAAATTTTCTGCATAAACAGTATACTTTAAAAATAAAGTATAATCGGAAAATCGATAACAAATCTCATTTCACTCTAAAAAAGTATAAAATCAGCGTAATATATCGTAATATAATAAAAATAATATCAATGATGAAAATGATTCATCATTTATCTAAAATTAGAATAATGTGATAATAATACCATAATTTTTGTGATTTTATTTGAGAAAAGAAGGCTTGGTTAAAATTTCATGAGTAATTGAAAATCAAATAAGTTTAATAGTAAAGTTAATTAATGTTTACAAACGTGATTTATTATTTATTACATGTGTGGTTAAGATAATCAAACGTAAAGATAAGCTTATATGATATTCTTAATCTTATTGGTTTCGTATTTTAATTCCACTTTGTATTCCCCTAATGTATAACAATCAATACATTCAATTAATAATATTGTTTTATTATGTGATATAAAATTGTAATATGCACGTGATTTATAATTATGTCCCGGTACTTTGCGAATTGATGGACATATCCGTCATATCCGAATTCCGGAATTATCATTCATCTAATAATATTGCAAAGGCAGTACGGATTTACCAAAGTTGCCGCGGATCTTTAAAAATATCTCTTATAATTTAAAAATATCACACTATATAAACATCACATCGTAATTTTAGTAAATCATAAGATTGTCATTTCTTTCACCAAAACAATTGCTTACTTTTCCCATTGAAGTACATTACTTTGTAAACACCATGTACCGCATGGTATTAATAATAATACTCAATAAATCGTGGCTTGAGAATTAAAGAATTAAAGAATTCTAAAGATATTCAAAGAAATTTTAATTAAAAAAAAAACTTGTTATAAATTTAGAAAAAATTCCTTGTTCAAATCTAATTGGTTCCGAGTTTATAAACAAATAAAATCATCGTTTATCAACAAATACGGGTTTTATCAAAGTAAATACTAAGTGAATTTTAAAAGTAATCTTGTTATCTAAACAAAAAAAGAAATATTCTCATGTTCCTACCATTTTATAGAAGATATAGTATTATAAACTCCGACCGTTCCGATCCTTATTAGAATAAAAAATTTTTTTATTTTAACTTTTTTTCCTTTTATTATATGATATAATCACGTTTTCTTCATGATTTATTTGTTTGTTCTTGTCATAAATATGCTGCCTTTTCTTTTTATAAATCACAAAAAAATAAGGAGATTTGTTTCTAATTTAAATTATTTAAATTCAAATCAAATAAAAATAAAAGGAAAAAAAAATCTCATAGATGCGAAAATTTTTGCTTACTAAGAGATTCATTTTATCAACATTACAAAAGATAAATCACAATAATAATAATAATACTAATTCTAATTAATTAATTTGATCAACAAAAAAAAATCCGAAAATTTCCGTAATTTTAATAACAAATATCCGATATAATTGTTCTTTCCGATTACTACCCACATGTACACACCATGCAGACAAATAATTGTTTTGATGCACTGGCCATTAAGTTTGATTCTGATATACGAACTCGATAACCCTATAACAAACTTTTTCCTAAAAAAAAACCACTTGTACAGTCAAACCTCTAAGCTGTTTTTGAAATTAGCAACTATAATGCGGGCCAAAATCTGTCATTATGATTAACTTTTGGGCTAAACATAAACCTCATATAATCATTAATTCGGCCAAATTTATGGTACTAGGCAAAATTGAATATCAGTGTAACCTAAAATGTTGGTAATTACTATAAAGGGGCAAAGAAGTTGAATAGATTTATTGGTATATACCAATTATAATCCCACCTTTTGGCTTATTCCCTTTCTTTAAATACATTTCAAATTTTTCATATAATAAATACTTCTTTTATAATCACTTTAAAATAAGTATAATTACACAAATTTTTGGTTTTAATAAATATAAGTAAAATACTCTTTATACAATTATGTGTAATAGCCAAATTTATAGTATTGATTAGAATTACAATTTTAACAAAATTTTCTTTTTTTTTAATGGTATTTAAATAAATTGAATTTTAAAATAAGTGATTTACTTAATAGTATAATACTTTAATAGAAAATTATATGAATAATATTAAAATCACAAAGTTCTTAATTACTTAAAAATATGAAGTTGCATAATCATTAAAGATGCTTAGCAAAACTATTTTTTCAAAATTTTAGTTTAGTCAAAATTTAATCTAAAACTATTTTTATATAATAAAATTAATTGTCTAAACTGTTTTTATACTTTTCTAAAACTAATTATAATTTAGAAAAGTTTTGGATTTTACCAATTTTTTTATTAAAAATAAAGTTTTTAAGTTTCAGATTTTTGAATTTTATTGTTAAATGAATGTTGAGCAGCAACACTAGTAATCATGATGATCATAATTAAATTTAAGATACAATAAAAATATGTTACTATTACAGTATTGATTGACTTTAACAGATTCTGAAATAACAAAAGAAATAGGAAAATTCTAAGTAGTCTTGATAGAAATTTCTACTTTTATTATTACTGATATATTATATTTGGCTAGCCTAATTCACTCTACCCTTGCACTTTTAAGATGCAAAGCATTTAAACTTATTTAAAATAAAAATACTTGTAAGCTGATTATATATTATAAATTGTAAGCTGATTTGAATAAAATTATTAGTATAATATTATATAAATTTATGGAAAATTAGTACAAATACTTTACTTTTAACTTAAAAATAAGAAGGAACTATCATTAAAAGGTAAAGCAAGATGATAATTCTAAGGTTGTACTAAGATTATTAGCATAATACAGTTAAATAAAAAGCAAAAGATAGCTAAACAAATTAAAAAAATTGACAAATTTTCAGATAGTATTGATAAACTTATAGTTTTAACTAAAATTCATTTGATATTAAGAAAACTTGAAGTATTTTGATAGATTTGAAAGAATATTCAGATTATCTAAGTTTTAAAAGTATAATTATTAGTAAGCTTTTTACTTTTCATTTTAATTTTATGTTTTTTTTTCTTTAATTTATTTAATATACTTTTATACTAATATATTTAAATATTTCTATTATACAGTAAAAGTAAAGGATTTTTTTTATATATAGATTATAGTTATACTTATTATATAACTAATTTTTAATAAAAATTCTGCTTATATGATTATACTTAAAAATCTAAAAAAGAAAAAAATTTTTTTTTTATTTTTAATTTTATTTTTATTTAAAAAAGTAGTTTTCTTTTAATTTTGTTATTTTTTTTTTTTTAAAAAAAAAAAACTTTTTATTTTTTATTTCTTTTTAATATAAAATTTTTAAAATTTTTTAATATTAAAATTCCAAATTTTATAATTATTAATTATTATTTATATTTACAAATCTTTATATTTTCATATTATTTTTTTTTTAATTTAAAATTTTATTTTTTCATATATTTTTCTTTATATTTTTATAATTTAATACTCTTATTTTTATTTTCTTATTATAATTTTTATATATTTTTCAAATTTTCCAATTTATATTAACATTAAATTACTTTTATATTTTCCTATATATTATAATATATTTGGCTAGATAATAATAAACACTAGTATGTTTGATTATTATCAGTTTAGAGTATATAGAATAAATGCTAACTTAAGTTCAATAAAAAAATTATTTGATGTGACAGCCTTTATTTACTGATTTTCTATACACAAGTTAGTGCGACAGATAATTAATGAATATTTTATGCAAGCCACAGTTCTCAATCCAAAAAGAGTGATTCTCAAGGGTTAAAAATTTATTTTAGAATTGCGCAAAATTTCTAAAAATTAGGAAATTTTTTTAGAAAAAATATATAATTATGAATTTTGGGCAGTAACACTAATTAATATTATGCAGAATTATATATTATTATATGAATAATGTAGTAATAAATAAAGTGTGAAGAATAAGATTTTATCTACTAAAAAAAAAACTAAATTTCTTAAATAAATATAAATAATAAAAATATTGAGGGGTGTAAAAGATGTGATAATTATTTATATAGTTATATGTTTAGTGCTTTTTTTTATAATAATACTAAAAATAATCTAAAGAAATAATTTTAGCATTATTTGATTAATTTTAAAAAAATGAATTTAATGAGCTTTTTTTCATCTTTTTATAATCACTACATGATGAATTATTCCAATTTTTTTAAATTTTAAAAAAAAAATTCTGATATATGATATAACTTATCATTTATTAATTGTATAAAAATAAATTTTAATTTATTAGAATTGCTTTAATAAAATAATAAGATTATTATCTTTAATATTGATAAATACCTTTTTAATGCTAATTTTTTAAAAATATTTAGTATATATTATTTTATAATATATTAATTCTAAAAATATAATCTTATTGCTATTTAATACATTTTAATAAAATAATTCTAATATACTATAGTTGATTTCTATATAACACAGGTTGAAAAGTAAAAAATCAGGCATCAATTAGTCACCAATCAGTCACCAATCAGTCACCAATCAGTTATCAATCAGTTATCTGATTGGTAACTGATTGGTGACTAATTGATGCCTAATTTTTCACTTTTTGACCTGTGCAATCTTCAATCCTATAATAAAAAAATATTTTTTTAATTATAATTACTTTGAAAAAATGTTTTTGCAATGTTTTTTCATTAAATTAATTAAAAAATGTTGTGAAAATATTTTTTTAATT